AGCCTTTCTTAGCCAACCCCAATTTACCTCTCTCCCAACTTTGTTTAAACTAGAATGACTTTGCTTTCATATATTCAATTGATGTATTATGCGTTCATATCTACCCCATCAAATATCAGTAGACATTTCTGTACAGAATACCCAAAACAAAAATCTCCTACCTTGGTCTTGTGCTTTCAATAAAATCCCAAGCACCCTAACAGCTGTCACTATACCTGCACCTAAAATCCCACAAGCAGCATATATCATTCCCAAGGAAACAAGACGGTCCTTAGATTCATGTTGATCCATGACATTGTGATTCATTTCTGGTTCTTTATATAAAAAGTCCCACCAAGGGTCTTGATCCTGGAAGTTTGGATCGTAATCTTGCCCTAACCTTCTATAGTTAAATTGAGACATTTCTTTGTTGGTAAGATGACTTCCATGATGCTTTTGTGCTTCTTTACTCATCTGTTTTGAAAATTCAAACTTCTGATTTAATTGTTCATTGGCAATTGGGAAGATCACACCACTTGATTCAAAAGCTGTTTGACTAGCTATATCATTGGGTGTTTGCATTACATGATCAGAAATAATAGGTGGAGTGACCAAGGCTTCAGAAGCTTGATGATCTATCAAGAGATTTATACCAAGGAAAATGTTTCCAAATCTCATTTTGAGTTAGCTGTCAGAGAAATAAGTAGATCATAGTATTCAGAATTCAGCTGAAGCATTCAACAGACACAAATTATCACAATGGAGCAAGTGAATGTAGCCTCCGGAGACTATCAGCTGACTAACTTGAATGAAATTTGGTTGGAATTTTCAGAAAGTGTTAATTCACCAGGTCCTGATTAATATGGATATGGTATGAAAGGTTTGTTGAACTTCTGTGTAAACTCAAACCACACAAGCTTGTAGTCTTCAGGAGGCCCCTCATCCAGGAGTAGAGAGGTAGAAAGAGGTAGTAAGTAAGGGATTAAACCAAGGAAAGCTGTGAGAAGTGCTCACTACTAAGATCTATTGTATCTGTGATCACTAGTTTAGGATCTCAAAGACTGATTTTGGGGTGTGATCAAAAGCCAAATGGTTCAAAATAAATTGGCTGAGAAATATATTGAATGAAGCAGCCACTTCTGGCATGATAAACCATACACCAATATCCCCTTATAGAGTTTCTGTGATTTGTGCATTGTTTGAAGATCAATCAGCCAAATGATGGCTGTGCATCCAGACATGTATGATTGTACCAAGGTCACAATACAAATGAAATTTTCTATAAATATCCATATGGGTTTCATCTGATATTTTTTCAACTTTTCTATTACATTTGAAACTTGTATCATGATCTTGGATTTCAATACATAATGTGGCCTCTGAATCCAGATCCATAATTGAAAAGAAGACAGCTTATAAAAAGATGTGACTTGAACATTTGAGATAGCTCAAAAAGATGTATATCTCCAAACTGCACACAGATTTTACCTGCACATATTATGTAAGCTTGCCAAAGGCTAACAAATTCTATAGCAGAAACTCTGTTGAACTATGGTTTACAACACAAATTTACACAGCAAGAAAATCCCCAGCCAAGTGCTGTAAGTTGCAAAATACTTACAATCAACAGCCATGAACCCAGAATGCTTCTTTAAGTAAGTCCTATGTTTGGGACAAATAAGGATACCTTGGCTCTATCTTGGTCCACACCCCCAATCTCTCTCAAACCCTCTTTATCCAGGTATGACCTGCACTTTTGAATTCCATAAGAATTACAAACCTCAAGCATCAAGTAAGTCCCAACTTGTATAACCAAACATGCTCTAAGGAATACTTGTCCCACA